GAATTTTCTTACAAACAAGAAGTTTGATCAGGTCTTACCGCTGCTAGCACAAATTTAATATTTTGCTATTCCTCTCTGTTTTGCTATTATTACATCCGCGTAGCTCCACAGGAGGCGTTTTAATCACATTAAGGTCGGACACATCCGGCGTCAGTTAGAGCTAAGAGATGAAACACAGACAGACCTTTTCCCCCAAATATTCCTTTCCACATGACTTTTCAACATGTCATACGGTTTCTTGCCGTATGAATTGCCCTACAGTCATTTCCTTTACATCGTATTACTTCACTTTATTAAACTAGCTCCTCTCTGCACATTTTGTTTGCGTTTTTGATCCGTCCTCTTCTTGGTTTCTGTTGATATTACAACGATACGGCCTTCAAACGGCCGCAAATTTTAATTTGGAGAATGTGTGGGTTCCATTTATCTCAGTTCGCTTTGTTCATCTGTTGTCTCTTATTCTTGCCGCATCTTTCCTAGCACTGTTTTGATAGCATTTTCCATAGTACCACACGAAAATGAATTGCTACATACTATCGCTTAACATACCTACTGACGCAGCGGGCAATTACAAAATTCCAACGGTTCAGACTGGCCGTTGCTTCAGAAATTTTAGCCTACCGATGGCCGCAAAAAATTTTTTTGTCAATTTAACCCACTTCGGCCGACCCACTTGGATCGTCCACTTCTGATTCGGCCTTGGAATTTACTTATCATTTCAAGGTTTCATGGTATGCATAATACTTCAGCACTTCGGAAAATTGCCAAGCTAAAGTTTTGGGGAACATTACCACTGACTAGTTTCTCTCGGGAACCTTTCAAGGAGTAAAAATGAAAATGTCAGAAACACCATCGAGCTAACTGTCGGCCGATGCACCATTGCTGAAAGCAGCTGGAAAAGTAGTTGTCGGATGCACAGGTGCAGGGAGGCCATATTTTTTGAGTCCACTTTTTGAACCATCCACTTGTTTTAAAGACTACGGTTCAGCCTACCAACAGCTGCAAATTATTTTAACAAACTTATCCCACCCTTCATTTTATCTTCCTGACTACGGCCGTTCCATATTTTGATTTCTTTGGATCGTCCCACTTGTTTTAAGAATTCAATTCGGCTTTTTTAACGGCCGCAATTTATTACTCACAAATGGTCTAGTGAGTACAGGTATATGCAATGTACTTTTGATGGTTTCGTTGATTTTAAGCATTTTTGAGACAAAGGCGAATTGGACGCGGAATTAAGCTATGGATCATATCAGCCTAGAAAATTACGGCTGCTTTCATCGCCCAGAAGCAGTACATCTTCAAAATCACCACGATCGCAACCAGCGGTAAAATTGCGGCGATCAAAATCACCGTTAAAATCACCTCGATCAGAATCACCACTAAAATCACCTCGACTGGAATCGCCGTTAAAATCATCTCGATTCCGCTCCCCTCTTAAATCACCGCGATTATCACAATCATCGTTGAAATCAGCGCGATCTCAATCAACAAAAAAATCGCAGTCAAAGCCGCAGCAGCGGCAACAGTCGCCTCTAAGATCGCCTCAGGCGCAATCACCGCTGAGATCGCCGATCAGCTTCTCATCGCAAAAGCAAGTTTTTCTTTTTTTAAATGTCAAATTTTTTTGCAAAATTTATTGAAATCTCTTCTTTTGACTTGCTGGATCTTAAATCTCTTGGATCTAAAATTGGTTCTTAAATCTCTTCTTATTCTTAGCGTCCATCTCCACCACCTATGCATGCATCTGGCAACTTTTCC